CCAGGGTGCGCAGGCCGCCCTCAAAAGACAGCACCTCAGCCGAGTAATTGCCAAGGCGACGAATGGAATGGCTGCGGTTGCGGCGCGACTCGGGCGCCAAGTGCTGGAAGACGCGGCTCACCACGCGCTTAGCCTTTTGCTCGAACCGGCTGCTCAGCATCGACTGGTCGCTTGGGGCAAAGGACTCGGTGGAGGCGAAATGGCGCGACGGCACATGGCGCTGCAACGCCGAGGGCTTGGGCTCAGGCATGGCGTGGGCGCCCAGCGGATTGCCGCCGTTGATGGCCTCAATGGAGTTGATGGACTTCAGCGACACCTTGCAGAATGACCCGTCCTCGCTGTCGCTGGGCGTCGACGCCCTCACCTGCGTCTCCAGACCCGTCGATGCCGGCAGCGCATCTGTAAGTTCACTGCCGCGCACCTGGGCCTGCAGGCGCGGATCTCGCGCATCAGCACGTCGTTCTGGGCCGACAGCTGCGAGTTGCGCTCCTGCTCGCGCGACCACCATGCAAACGCGTCGTCGCGCTCCCGACACGCGTGCTGCAGAAGCTCGTCGGGCATGGCGTCGGTGACGGCCTGGCGCGCACTGATCAGCTGGCGCAGGCGCTCCTGCACCGGCAGGAGCTCCTGGGTCTCCCACTGCCGCCGCGCCCGTGCTGCATGGGATTCGGCATCGCAGTTGGCCCTTGAGCATGGCAGCTTGCGCCAGGAGCTCAGCACGCTCCTGCACGTGCGCTGGATGGCGGGCGTGGTCGGCGCGCGCGTCCTGCAATGCGTGCTGGAGCGCATCACGTGCCATGCGCTCGGCTGCCCGTGCCTGGTTGGCCAGGTCCAGCTGTGCTCGCTGCGCCGCACACTGCGCGTCCAACGCATCGATGCGCGAGCGCAGGCGGACGATCTCAGTACTCTCGCCGGCCGACACCGACGTGACTTTGTTGGCCCGCTTGCTCTGTGCGCGGCTGACAGCCCGACGCAAGGCTGTGCGTGGCGAGACAGTCTGCGCGGCGTCGGTCTGCCCAATGGCTGCGCTCAATGCGTCCTCCAGTTCCTCGGCGCTGGGCATGTGCGGGGCACGCACCGCGACAGGATATCCAGCTTATGTGCTGCCTTGGCCTCGCCGCGCCGCACCTCCTCGGATAGCCGCTGCCGCCAGGCATTCTGCAGCTCGGAAATCCGTGCCACGAAAAACCCACACGCCTCCTGCCGCGTCTCGCCTCGACACTTGCCAGCCGCTCCAATGCCGCAGTGTGTTCTGAGCGCAGCCCGTCGTATGCAGTCTGCAGGGCCGCCGCATAGTCCACCAGCGCTGCCAGTTCGCGGGTCGGTTCGCGAAAACCCAAACTGAGCGCCCTGTGTCATAGCCCGCCACTCGCCCGTGGGTGTACTGGGAACCACAGGCTTGGCTGCCCGCCTGCTGGGCGTCGCTGGAGTACTGGGGAGTACCGAGGACGGATCGCGATAGGCGCCGCCCAGATCGGCACGCACGCGCTTGGCCGAAGGGCCGGCGTCACGTGCAGCGGCCCGCTTCGACCCATCCACCCCGGCATTCTCCTCAGGCGGATCCTCGACCACGCCGCACATGGGCGACCAAAGCACTGGCGACCTGGGCAAAATCCAGCACACTGCGGGTCTCTGTGGCCACATCAGTATCGCCAGCATCGTACGGATCCACACAAACAACCATTGACGGTGCGGGCGCCGCCCCTCAAGCGCCGGCTGCAGCAGCCGCGTGACCTTGGACTCATTGTACGGCACCAGCGCCGGCGGCTCACCGGGCGCCCGCTGCGCATTGAAGCGCTTGACGTCAAGACATTTCTTCAGAGTCATCAGGCTGGTGTTGATTTTTCCAGCCTCGGCTAGCCGCGCCCCCGTGCGCCTGCGTGCGTCTCACCCGCTCGCTGCCCGCCAAATCCACAACCGTCAGGGTCCGCACCGACGCCCGCGCCCCCGACGACGCCCAGTGGGCTGGCCGTAGCCGTGCGCTGCGCCTTGACTAGCCGCGCCTGCAAAAAGCACGTGCGAGCGCGACGACCCGGCGTTGGCGCCGGTTGCGTGGACTGCGCGGCGCAGCTGGCCGTGGATCAGCACGCGGGCCAGGTCACGCGTGGTCCTCACCCTGACCGTCGTCGCTCCCTCCACAAACGCCTCCTGCCCCTCGGCCCGCACCCAGCAGCGGTGCCCTCTGCTTGCTCGCAATCTGCTTTCCCGACATTGCCTGCGGATCGTCCCCACGCCGCCGCCGCCTGCGCGCCCCAGGCACTGCCGTCAATGTCGTCAGATCCAAACAGATCGTACACTGTCTCGTTGTGAATCTCCACGTATGACACATACAGTTGGTATATCCAGTCACCCGGGCTCCTCACCGAGCGCCGCCGGGCCCTGCAAAGCCTCTACCCACGCGTCCTCGCCGGGCGCTGCGCGGAACACTGGTGCTGAGACGCGTGCATCGGAACAGAACTCCACCTGCGTCGCATACTTGGGCCTGATCGCCAGGTCGCCGTGTGCATTCAGCCTATCCACCTCATGCAGAACCGCTGCAACGCTGCGTGCCAGCACCCCGGGTCCTGCCCATGGCCCTGCACGGTGTGCGTCTTGCCCGAGTTCGTCACGCCATATGCAAACAGCAGAGTGTTGTAGCCGCGGAACAAGTCCCGCACCACTGGCGCCCCACACACCTCATATACCCGTGCCTGTGCTGTCTGCCCCGGCAACACCCCACTGAACAGGTACCGCCGACCCGCCCATCTCCACCTCCTTGTCGCTGACCACTTGCAATACGCTGCCGGGCATCGCCTCGTCCTCTAGCATTGACGCTGATGCAGGCTTCAGCCGCAGGTACGTCGTGATTGGGTCTGTTTCTGCCGCATATTTTCCGATCGTCCGCTTCACCGAGTAGGGCGTCCGTGCTACGGTGTGGGTGCGCCTTGGCGTTGCGGGAATGTTGCTGGTGTCGCTTCTGTATCCGCTCTCTGTCTTGCGCACCCCCACCTCTCTTGTGCTGCCTGCTTTCTCTGCTGTGCGTGTTCCCATGCCGAACTGCTAAATGCTAAACTATAAATGGCTAAATGAAAAAGTAAACAAAAAGAGCCGTACTGTTTATCCTTCGCGGTTTTTTGTAGATTTGAGCGTTCATGCTGCCAATTGGCTTTTATTTCTTAATCACAGGTCACGTTTTCTTGATTCTAGTTGTTGACAAATCCTCGGTTGATCAGCCGTCCGAAGATCATGCCCAGTGTCCGCCCAATGCGCTGGTTGTACTCGTCGTCACCGCCGAACCCCTCCTGCGCAAAGTCATCAACATCCTGGTAGTCCACTTGTCCACTGCGCTTGGCCTTGCTCGAGTGCTTCTTGGTCTTCGAGGGCTTTCTCTTCGGCCACTTCCACTGGGTGGAGAACTTTGGCGGATACCCGTCGCATCCGGTCGTGGGACAATCCTGCGTGGTTATCAGACGCTTGGCCATGCCTCTCTTTCCATGGCTGCCCTTCATCGTGGGCTTCTTCGAGTAGCCCTGGGGCGCCCTCCTGCCACCGCGGTTGGGCCTATCCAAATAGTCAACCAGTGGCTCCGGGCTGTTGAACTTGTACGAGCGCTTGGCCTTGCTCGAGTGCTTCTTGGAGTTCTTGGACTTCACTGCCTGGCGCGGCGGGTGGTTCCACTGGATAAGGTCTGGCCTGTCGCGCCAGCAGCCTGTGATGCTGCATTCCTGCAGAACCATCATACGCTTGGCCAGCGCTGCCTGGTTGCTGTCTTCCGCGCGCTCACCGCCGTATCCGACTTGGCTGGCTGCGGTCACTGCTGCAAGCAGCGTGAAAGAGGTCGTAAGAGTAAGACGCATGGTGCTGGTTTTTGGCTTGGATTGAAATGCAAATGCAGAGTGTGTTGGAATGGTGTTGTTGATGTGTTTGTTGTTAATTTAGGCGAATCTACCCCTCCATCTAGACCTTTTATATGTGGAATCACAAACTTCTGGATACTCTTCCCCTCTCCTGGATATGCCACCTAGATATCCCTATTTTCTATATTTAGTCTGTGCCAAGATGCAACAATGCGGGATAAAAATGGAGACCATCTATCTTTCGTCTGCCCAAACCTGCTACATTACCAAATATCCACAAAGACAATCCTTGGCTATTTATCGGAAAATCGTCCGATGACATCTCAAAAAGATGTGTGCAGAGCCTCACAAAGAAATGCCCCTCTCCTCCAAAATAGATATGCATGTGGTGGTCTTATAAATAAACGAAATCGAATTCTAGAAGATTCAATGTGCATAAATCCAATCTCCTAGTACGTCACCCTGGCGCAAACGCGACTATGCTTCCTCATATCCAAACGCACCTTCATATGCCTTGCCATAGAGGGACACCGGGTCAAGGAACCGCGCCCGGAACGTAATTCCATTGATTCTTGAAAAAATCCTCGTCTGTAATCTCAATACGCTCAAAGTTCTCCATCAACCGCTCCTGGCAGTTTGTCTTTGGAATAACACTGTACCCGCGCTTGACTCCCCACGCCAGCAGTACCTGCGCTGCCGACACACCACGCTCCCTGGCAATCTCATTGATAACCGGGTCTTCGCGCAAATTAAACTTTGCAATCGAACCCAACGGCGAGTGGCCCGTTACTGTGATTCCCTTTGACTGGCAGAACTCCACTAGTTTTGGCTGCGGCAGGTATGGATGCAGCTCGACCTGGTTCACCGCAGGAACAACTGTAGTGTTGGCAAGCAGGTGCTCGAGTCGCGCGGCAGAAAAGTTCGATACCCCAATTGCCTTTACCCTGCCAGTCTCCAACAGCTTCTCCATCGCCCTGTATGTGTCTACGACGTCAATCTGCAGATCCGACTCGTGGATACCGTCAGTATGTGCAACGGGCTCACTCACGCATAGTGGACCATGCATCAAGTACAGGTCGATGTAGTCCAGGCCCAGCTTCGCCAGCGACTCGCTCAGACCAGTGGCCACGTCTTCAGGCCGGTGGAACGAGTTCCAGAGCTTGGTTGTGACGAATATCTCGGAGCGCGCTATGCCGCTGTTGCGAATACCTTCGCCCACTGCTGCCTCAGTGTCGTACATCCAGGCAGTATCGATATGGCGGTAGCCAGCCCGGATTGCCTCTTCAACTACCTTGGCCAAAATATCGTGCTTGCCAAGCCAGGTACCAAGACCTATTACAGGCATCTTTGCGCCCGTGTTGAGGGTTAGTACTTGGGTATATTGGGAAGATACCGTCATTTTCCGCCTTCAAGATATGATTTATACAGTGTTCAATAGGTGAATAAAAAAGACGTTGTCTTTATGAATATAAATATCTTGCTTCTTGTTGGATGGATATATGCCCCCTAGGAATAAGTATTCGCTTACCTCATATTCTCAAGGATTAGGGCTGTGTGAGAATTATCCACCATCTAAGAGCAATGGAAGCTGAGGTGGCTTGGGTCCACACGAAACAAACAATCATCTCTTTCCACAATAGCACTCAAGGCAAGAGGCGCTGCCGCAATCTACGCACAATGTCAGCGAATATTAAGAGGTGGGAACACTCAGTGCTGCTTCTTAGCTAGAGGCAGATGCAAGCTAGCTGATCTTAACAAGTGTACCCTATATTGCGTGTGGTGTCAGCAGAAGAGAACATGGATTCCACCCATGACGTACATCGGCACACTCAATAATGTTAATGGAGCAATTAAATCTGCTACCACTTCCAAGCCGATAGCGGCCACGCTTCTTCAGATCCAAAGAAATCAGCATACTCCTTGCCGAAATAGACTACAAGGTCAAGATAACGAGTCTGATACACTGTTGCATTGATTTTGGCCACATCTGTATTAGTAATGTCCGCCTGCTGCAGGTTCTCTACTATCTACCCCTTCTTGGTTAACTCTGCCAGTACATTGCTCTCCCATCTGATTTCCCACGCAAGCAGTACCTGTGCTGCCGACATCCCATGCCCCTGGAAATCTCATTGATAGCTGGATTTTTGTGTAAACTGAACTTTACATCCGAGTCCAATGGCAGGCACGACGCCACTGCAATGGCCTTTGACTGGCAAAACCTCGCTAATTCTGGCTATGGGAGGTACGGGTGCAGCCCGACTTGGTTCACCGCAGTAGCAGCTGTGGTGTTTGTTGGCAGACACTCAATATTTGGCATAAGAAAATTTGGCATGCCAATCGCCCTAGCCTTGTATGTCTACAAAGCCAATCTGCGGATTATCATTTGTGGTGCCTTCATTTGAATTGCCTATGAGGTTGATACATAGCGGCCAATGCATCAAGCGAAGGTCGACGTAATTTAGACCTAGGTTTGTTAGCAACTTGTTCAACCCATTGGCTACATCCTCGGGCCGGTGAAACGAGCTTCAGAGCTTGGTCGTTATAAATAGCTCTGAGCATGGGATACCGCTGTTGCAAATGCCGTCGTCGACCGCTGCCTCATTTTGGTACAACTAGGCAGTATCGATATGGCAGTATCCGGCGCGAATAGCCTCTTCAGCTGATCTAGTCCCATGTTCGAGATCAACAAACCAGGCTCCATGGCCCATGACGGGCATTTCAGCATCTGTATTTAACATTGTACTTGCCAGTGAGCGGGGTGATCCTAGCATGATCAGTATTCAGAACAAACAGCTGCTATTACTAGTTCAGTGAGGAATAAAGCCCACAGACATACGATGCGATGTAGCCTAGAGCTATGTCTCTTGAACCTGCAACAATGCCGAAATGCAAATTCTCTTTGTGGCAAGGGGCGCAATGTTGGGGAGGTACTGCGGATGGAGGCTGAGTTGGCACAAAGCTATGCGGCAGTGTGCTCACACGCCATAGGAG